TGTCAATTTTTGAAAATTGTAACCTTTGTTAGAAAAGTAAATAAATAATTTAATTGTTTGATTGTTATATGTAACACTGTGAACATTGTATAATACTATAAACAATAAAAACGTACAGTATGTCTGCTCTTTGAAAGTAAAACACATACTCAAGCACAGGATTCAGAAAAAAAATATTTAGTGTTGTTTTAGGTAACAATATCTATATGTATTGCCTGTAAAGTCCATTTATAGCCTTTACACAGCAGCATGTCTCTTTACATGTTTAAAAACCAGCTAATTTCAAGACGCTGACGTCACGTCTGGTCGTCACGTGGGTCACCGGCAGTGTAAGACGCTCAAAGCTCAAGACGTTCGGTTTGACGTTCGATCGGTCGGTCGGTCATTCGAACGTTTGATTTTGGCACGAAGTGCGCGCCATAGTGTGTATGTGTGTGCGCACGCTTTGCACGTGTGCGGCAGAACGGAAGAGACGCTGCGCGAGATGCGGCTTGTGTGCGCGCTTCAGGTGTGAGTCAGACAGCAAGACGAGACGGCAAAGAGTTGTTTTCTGCAACTTATTGCACTTAACTCTTTTTAATGTCAAGCAATTCTCTGCTATATGTGTCGAACTAAAACTTTGACCTTTTGCAACGTTTTGATTTAAGTAGCCTATTATTAAAATGATTCAGATATTGCACGCCCTTGCGATATGCATATCACGATATTTACATTTGCGATATTTCGATATATCATGCAGCCCTAGTTTCTGGCATCATTTTTTTTTTTTTCAATTTCTATCCTGAAGTGTCTTTTCTCAGATCATCTTCACTAAAAACAATGTGAAAAAATGAAAGTATAGCTTAGCCTACTGCACATCTTTGGGATGAATAATTTGGTTAGGTTGACTAATACAAATACATATATACTGTATTAGCATAGTATGTGTTTTGAATACTCAGTTCTTCTGAGAATCTTTTAGTTGTAATGTTGATGCCAGGAATGTGTTAATTATATAAAATGTAAATATGAACCTACAACACTTCTGCCTTCACAATCTGCATAATTTCCCAATCTGATTACAACACATTAAGCTGTTTCAGCTATCCATTAACTAAGATGCACACAAATAAACGCTCTCATTATTTCTGTTGTTTGGCTCTAGTAACACTACCTGTGGCTCCTGCAGTCACCTGATTGCTTTTGGCAGTGGAGCTATAATATTTAAAGTTCAGAAAATCCCCAAAGACAAATTCTGGGAATTACAACACAAAGGCACCAAGCCGAAACAGACAAGACATTTTTTTCTTTTAGTCAGATTTGTTAAACACAGGTATTCAAGTCAAAGTACATCCTATTGTGTTCATTTTTCTATATGATCTTAAATTAATGACTTGTTAAACACAGGTGTTGTTGTTGTTGTTGTTGTTAATAAACAGGCATTTAAGTCTCAGTACATTCTATTGTGTTCATTTTCTATATGATCCTAATTAATGATATTAAATGTTATATTATAAACTAAAACAATAAGAAAAAACAAACAATTTTTATATATATTTTTAATAAAACCTCAAATGCTTAAGGTTAAGCTACTGTACCACCTGTTCAATGAATTATACATATTTACAGGAATCACTATCACAGGAAATAGTGAATCATTCTCAGAAAGCGATTGTTGATTTTTGTGCACAGCCAACGGAAAAATGTCACGACAAGGGCAAAATTTACAGCTCTAATGTGGCATAAACAAAACTAGTCACACCAAAGACGATCAAATCTTTAAATCCCTTAGAGAAGCTGCAGGGTCTATATCATTACTTTTCCCACAGCTCCTGAAATAACATTCATGCTGAAATTATTGACGATGCTCTACAACCCCAGCATAAACCCAGGGTAATTCCGTAATTCACAGACACACAGAGATAGAAAAGGGCGTAATAATACAGCCCTGGTGACATACTGATTAGTGACACACCCAAAGGCCCTTAATCACAGGGGGAAGCACCATTAACCATTTCCCTTGAGGACCATCCAAGGGTGGAGTGACCCAAACCACCGCCTGCCTCCAAGCTCCAAAATCAGAAAGTCAACTCTGGCTGTTTGGCTAGACATGATTACGGTGCACATTTTTTTTTTTCCTGAGGTCATGGTAAGGTTGGGAGTTATTTCAATCTTGGCCAGATAGAGAGGAAAACATTTCCTTTGGTTTATTTTTCAAAATGGAAAAATAAACAGCACTCTCAGAAACAGGAAGTCACAGTGAAGGCTCAGGCTTTGCCAGAATGGTAAATGTTTCCAACATCAGCAAGCTGCCAGTGTTTATAGGTTGTTCTCTCAATGGGTGAGGGATGGAGAATAAGACACAATTGTTTTAAAACACAAAAACATTCTTTTGTTGATCTACTGACCTACTTTTAGCTGCAATACAGACTTCAACTCATTTTACTCCTTTTGGAGGAATGCAAACAAAGATCTTTTTTTATTTGACTGGGTTGCAGCCTTCACTGTGACTGAATTATGAACACAATCATAACTGTGTACATGTATTCTTCTTGTATTCCAGGTCATGCAGATAAGCAGCTCACAGCCAACAAACAAAGCGCTTTTGTGGATTCAAGACAGAATTAAAAGGGAAATGAAAACGCACAGCACACTTTCTGATCCCACTAAAGGAAAAAAATAAGTTGCCCTTGTAAAGACCAGGCCAGTCCACTTCACCTGCTTTCAAAGCTCTGCTATTGACTTGTCCATTGCAACTTTGAAGAAGTCTTTGTTGAAACAAATGTGTCTTAGAATGGCTCAGATACTGCCAGCAAACAAGTACCTACTTGTAGACTAGTCCAGGATGGATGCCAAAGAGAAGGTAACAGATTTCAGATGCCGACAAAATCACACTGCTGGCTTTGCATCATGTTTACTTCACAAAACCATTGTAGGCAACTTCTCATCATTCTTTTAAGGTCTCTCTTCAATTAACCTTCAAAGACCTACTAGAGCAAAACTGCAACAATTGTTTAAAGCAATTCAATTACAGTTATTAAATAATTGGAAATACGATTATGAAAATATCTCAGCAATGACAAAAAAGCCCATTTGGACTGTCACAACTAGGTAACGGTTTACTTACACACACACACACACATTTACATATATATATATATATATATACACATATACACACAGACATACATACATACATACATACGTATGTATGTATGTATGTATATGTAACCCTGGACCACAAAACCAGTCATAAGGGTCAATTGCTATTGCTACAAATATACCCCAGCGACTTAAGACTGGTTTTGTGGTCCAGGGTCATATACATATATACATATATATATATATACACATACATACATACATACATATATATATATATATATATATATTAGGTTTGTAACGGTATGAAAATTTCATATCACGATTATAGTGACCAAAGTTATCACGATTATCAATACTATCACGGTTTTGTTAAAATTAGATGAAAATGTTCAAAAAGAACTGATACAAAAAATATGCTTGAACTTTTCAGTTTCTCAGCTATTTTATTGAGAAATCACAGAACAGTGTTGACAATACATTTCCGCGCTGAATGATTCTGTGCGCGTGATGTACGCGCTACTGTCTGTAGCCTAACGTTATGTGTGTGCGTTACAGTGCAGCAGCGCATTAAATTAGAACGGCGATTAACTTACCTGTACAATAAGCTGTTTAAAACGTGCATTCTCCCGATTTTGAGCATTCAGTAATATAATCACACATGTCTTGTGGATCGCTTTCAGAGTATGCATTTATTTGTGATTTGAATTGTTTGGAAACGGATCGTAAATGTGGAAGTCCTTCAAAGATTTCTTATCCTGTTGCGCCCTCTATAGGACCAGCGACTAGTCGACGTCAAGCTTAAAGCGTCATGGCAGAGCATTGAAGTCGACTAGTCGATTAGTGGGGTGCAACCCCTAATATATATATATATATATATACACATACACACCTTGCTATGTGTACTGCGTTAGGCTAACCGAGACTTGTCATTTGCACTTATATATTGTTGTTCTTTTGTTCGTTTTGACTGATTTTATTGTCCTCATTTGTAAGTCGCTTTGGATAAAAGTGTCTGCTAAATGACTAAATGTAACTTTTTTTTATATATATATTTCTTTTACTCTATTTTTGATCAAATAAAATGTGTCTTAAATTTTTTTTTATTTTTTTTTTATTCCAACACCAAACTAAAGCAGTAGTGTAAATCTGAGAGAAAGTTACATTTTAAAAATCAATAGTGGGCCTTACTGGTCAATTTTATTTTATTCACACAATTCATACTGCACAGATAAATATTCCTAAATATTTTGGATGTATCCTACTAAAAATTTGAAGAGAGTCAGAGGAGCCCTCAGAGATACAGAAAATATTGAAATTTTAGTTATCTCGCTTGAAGATTTATAAAGGTCAAAGCCACTGCACTGTGGGCCTCTGCATGTGCTTTTCCAGACAGAATATATTACAGGAGGTCAGTGAGGTGTAGATATATCTCGGTATCTTTACAGAGTGTCAGAGAGCAGCTCTGAGATGAACATACCCACATCCAGCCTCCTGGTCCAAGAAAATATGTACTTGCATTTTGCAACGTCCCCCCCTCCTCCCAAAATTCGCACTAAAATAATTTAACAAAAAAAAAAGCTTGCAAAAATACAATGTTTGGAGTTTTGAGGGCTGATGAAAACAGGTTAGTCTAGGTGCCGTGCTCCGGCAAAGCCATTTCTCAAAATTTAGACAGCGTTTTTGGACATTACTGCGGTCTAGATGGGTAGCTCAACAGGGTTTGAGTCAACTATTAATGAACCCCAAAACATCTAGTATCGCATGAAAATTGTGAATCTCGTCGACAGATGAAAATACTCATCGGTGTGTTTCATTAAACAACTTTTGCAGAGAATTTGTATAAATTATAATCAAGATCCAGTTAAAAAACACATTTTACCCACAAACTTACTAATAAAGCTTCACAACTAACGTTATTAGGGAAAACGCCATCTTTTGAGTGCATTACTAAACATGATTAACACTACTGACAAACAAGTTTACATGCTAACGGATCGACAACACGCGTGAAAACACCCCAAACAAAAGTCTCGCTGTTGACACAAATACTCACTCTGGTGTTTGCCTGAGCTCCGGGACTGTTTGGTCAGGCTGGGACTGCGAATAAAAGCCCTTCTGGCTGATTTCAGCACATCCATGGCGAGGTTTATGAGCGGAGAAGGGGCTTCAGGTGCTGCTGTTGGCCATGAACTACGTCTTCTCACTCTCAACTTTGTTGTGGCTGTGTCGACGCCGACATCTGTGGGAATACTTGAGCCTCCGCGTCTCCTGGGCGGCGTTTCCTCCGTCAATCAAAATGACGTTCGAGGTACGCGGCGCAAAGATTCTGTTTCTATGGCAACGGCGTCAAACAATCCACTAGTGATGGGAAGTTCGGTTCTTTTTCGCGAACCGGTTCTTTCGGACAGTTCGATTCAATAAACCGGTTGACCGGTTCTGTTCACCTCGACTTTTACGCTTCAAAATGACGTTCGAGGTACGCGGCGCAAAGATTCTGTTTCTATGGCAACGGCGTCAAACAATCCACTGGAAGCCTCCGATGTGTGCTTTTTGAAACGGCGCGCGAATATCAAACAGCGTCTTAACAGACAGCGGGTTTGTATGAAGGAACCTGGTATGTGCGCCGTAATGTGTTCATTCCTCCCTATAATGCCTGACGAGTCAACATTCATAAGGTTTAGAACACCGTCCGTGTTTCCCACGAAAAACAAATGACACGAGCATAGTGGAATCTTTTGAGCTCATCTTTGTCGCCCTCGTGCGGATGTAGAAGAAACGGTCCTCTATTGAGACTCGGGCTTGTTTTGATGAAATTATAAAATCAAATAAACTATTATGTTCCACTATGGCTATAAAAACACAACACAATTTGAAGGCCCCTCTAAATAAGGTAAGATATTTCAGAAATTTTGAGATATAAGATATTTGAAGGTCTCTCAATATAAGGCCAGCATTTCTTGCAAAGCAAAATTATGACAAAGCTGGCTGTTTTGGCTTTTTAATAAACAGAGACTTGGAAACAAACAGAAATAATAGTTATTGAGGAGGCAAAAAATAAAAATAAATATGATTTCTTCATTTCATGTACTTTATAGCATTTTAATGTTTTTTTTTTTTTTACTGGAATAATAATAATAATTAGTGTGAATAATAATGTTAAAGATATAAGTTATCACTTATTACGTATTTGGAATGCGAAATGAAACTGAAAGGAGTAAAAATCAGGGAATATATACAGGGAAACCCCTTGTAAATGTAATTGTAAAGTATTCAATTCAATATTTCAAGGCACTGTGTAACATAACATAACTGGCAAACAAGACATCATATGTTCAGCTTTTCAACTGGTTTCAACTAAATTCTATTTCAATTTTGTCCAGTAACAAAAAGGACTTGCATTGACCGCAAATACGACAACATTCCCGAATATTTATGCAGCATGTTTGTCAACAAATACAATGTGAACATCAGTCCCTTTTCAAATACATGGGTTTTTTCAAGTCTTCGACTTCTTAGAAAACAGCAACGGGAGGAACAGAAACCTAAAATATTTCCAATTTCAGATCCAACATCTGTAATGAAATGCTTTTTACCTCCCTTGAAAAACAGAGATGTACAATACTATGGTCATACTTCAACTGAAATGCATTCTTAATCACTCCATTGCGACAAACACAATGTTTTTCCATCACAAATACTTCCGTCTCATCTCAATACGTTTTCCCTTTTCTTTTGACATTCGATTAACTTAAAGATGGTACGCTTATACCAGGAGAGTAAAATAAGTCATGCCTCCATTTCTGCCACATAAAACTGTTCAGATTCAACACATAGACGAGGAAGTGCTAAATAAAATCATGAAAGATCTTCATAAAGACGACAAAAGAACCACAACAGGCTAAAGTGCCGTTACCAAGAAAAGATTTTAGGTGTAAGAGCTTCAAAAGTAACCTTAAACACAAGGAGGGCAGTTCTGGTCAATGAGACATCCCTTTTTGTAATTTTTTTCCCTCTCTATTCCTCCACTTATTTTATCAACAACAAAGAAGAGCCATACTAACAGAGGAAGGGTAAATCAAACAAAAATACTACCCCATCCCATTGCTTTGCATACTGAACTATCAAAGAGCAAAGTGGACGATGTGATTGGACATTCACTTCTTGAGTGGCTGGTAGATGGAGGCATTGGGGTCCAAGCTGGAAGGACTGGTGTCCATGAACTTGGAGGAGTAATGTGGGGTCACAGGGGTCATGCTGTTGGTCTCTGCCGAGTAGGTGATGCTGGGCATGACCGCCATGACCTCTGCGATCTTCTGCTTCAACTCTTTTATTTCCTGCTCCTTCTGCAAAATCTGACCTGTGTGCAGGACAAATAGAGAATAGGGTAGTGAGCGGAAGCAGAAAAGTCTAAGAGATATATTAAGACCGGAAGGGGGCAGACCTTGAGCAATCTCTAGCTGTCTCTTGGCATCTCCGAGTGCTGAAAAGAGATCCAGTTTGATTCTGGTCTCAGCACTCAGACTGTTCTCTAGGTGCTGGGTCTTGTCCTGCATGGCCGACAGCGCTGACATCAGAACCTCTGTGTCCTTTTCGTTCTCCTTATATTTGCGTAACTCCTGCACACAGAGTTAAGTAAATGAAGGTATGTTTCAGTCGTCAATATGAAACACAATTCACAACTTATGTTACATCTATAATTTGATGAATTGCTGAGTGAAACAGAATATCTTGAGAAAAATAAATAAAGAGGTAAATTAATCTTAAGGTTAGATTTTATCCATCGGAACTGTATGAAGCTGCTTCCAGACTTGAATGAGAATTTGCAACCAGTTGTGAAGAGGATAAACACTTTGTCCCAGGAATCAGGCCAAATCAGACCAAATATCTGATTTAAATTTTTTTCAGCACATCCCTCGCCATGGATGTGCTGAAATCATATCTGAAAAAAAATCCTTGCAAAGTGTATATTTAATTATATTTTTAAATGAACAACGAATCAGTACCAATTCAAGTCTTAATTTTAAGTACACAGAAAAAAAAGAAGAAAAAAAAAAAGTATTATACTAAGTTTGGGGTCAGTAAATTTTATATTATTTTATACATTTTATGCAGCAAGGTTGTATTAAAACACTTATAAGCACTCAACAGGCATTTATAACGTTACAAAAGATTTCTATTTCAAATAAATGCTGTTATTTTGAACTTTCTATTAATCATAAAATCCTGAAAAATGTATCAAGGTTTCCACAAAAGCATTAAGCAGCGAAACTGTTTTCAACATATTAATAAGAAATGTTTCCTTAGCAGCAAATCAGGATATTATTGATTTCTGAAGGATCATGTGACACTGAATACTGGAGTAATGATGCTGAAAATTCAGCTTTGCCATCAGAATAAATTACATGTTAAAATCTATTAACATAGAACAGTATTTTAAAATTGTAATAAGATTTCACAATAATACTGTTTTTATGGTATTTCTGATCAAATAAATGCAGCCTTGATGAGCAGAAGAGACTTACTGTAACTCATAATCATTTAAAAAAAATAAAAATAAAAACTTACTGACCCCAATCTTTTGGAATGGTGGTGTATTTTCATGACACTATTTTTGCATCACTAAATCAGTTAAACAGTTATTTGGTTATTGAGTTAACATGATCCAGAAGCCTTCATGGCCTAGACAACATCAGCTGAACAAGAAAGTTGGTCCAGCAGTGGAACAAGTTATATTTGATGAAAAATTACAAAGACAGACATTATTTCTTTGGATTAATTGGGCACTGATAAATAGTGCACACTAACACCAAAACAAAACAAAAATCAGTAAATGAAGTAAAAAAAAAACAAAAAAAAAAAGACAGTTTTGATTTCATGTTGATTTTAAATGTCTAGAACTTTCTTTTACAAATCACACACCAACTTTTGTTTTTTTATTCTGTGCCTCACAAAGGCCATCCCTCCCTGAATGCTTTATTCTAAATATTGCTATATAATATTGCTAATAAGCATATTAAAGCAGCATGTCAGCAGGGGTTCTGGCTTACTTGCGCTTTGAGCTCGAGCTCTCTGATTTGTTCCTCCTTTAGCTTCATGTCATGTGTGAGCTTCTTGCACTCCGACTCCAGCTCACGCATGCGACTCCTCAGTGAGTCTGTGCACTCTCCTCTGTGAAGGGAGGCCAGAGTCAAGCCCACCAGCACAAAGACATAACAAAAAACAAGATGCACAAACACACACACCACCAAATAACCACGTTAAATCTATTCCACAGAATATGGGGTTGAGACCATATTTTTGGGAGAACTATTTGTCTAAGCCTCACCTGGAGGCAGCCGCCAGAGCGACAGCACGTGCAGCTGTGGCCTCTTCCATCTTCTTTCTTTTCTTCTCTTCTGCAAGTTGCTTTTCCACTGCGGCTCGCGCTTCCTGTTCTGCCTTGAGCCGCTTCTCCAGCTGCACAATCGTTTGCTTGTCCTTCTGCTTGGCCTGCACAGCGTTATGAAGCCTAAGGCAGAGACATACATAATCAACACCGGCATAAACAACTGCAGGTAGAGAGATGGAAATGTGCATCTGATGATACATAGGCAAGTGTTCCCACAAGAAAATAATTAGCTAGTACTCTACTAATGATTAACAATTGTAGTGATTATCATAAAATTGGGGACCTTGGAAACAGACCTTTTTTTTTTTACTTTGAGTTTGAGATTTTAATGTATGAGAGGTGATAAAAGTACATTGCATGGGTCAAAATGATCGATTTTTTTAATGCCAAAAATCATTAGGATATTAAGTAACAATCATATTCCATGAAGATATTTTGTAAATTTCCTACAATAAATATATCAAAACTTCATTTTTGATTAGTAATATGAATTGCTAAGGACTTTATTTGGACAACTTTAAAGGCTTTAGAATTTAAAATTCTTTAAAATTCCAGATTTTCAAATAGTTGTATCTCGGCCAAATATTGTCCTATCATAACAAGCCGTACATCAATGGAACGCTTATTTATTCAGCTTTCAGATGATGTATAAATCTCAATTTCGAAAAATTGACACTTAAGACTGGGTTTGTGGTCCAGGGTCACATATTATTAAAAATGATTACTGATGGGATTTACTGGTTAAAAAACAAAAACAAATCTCTAAGTGGTCAGTTACCATGGGTCTAAATCAGTGTCATTTTAATATTATTTTTATAGTTATAGTATTTATTAATATTCTGAATGAGCTTCTATTTCTATATTTTCAGTTTTTATTGAAATTTTAGTAATTTTGTAATGTGCTGTTGTCATTTTCAGTGGTCATATTGATTTGTTGATCAAATTTAAAAATAGCAAAAACACATGCATAACAATTGCTGAAATTAAATTTATATTTATTTGATATAATATTAGACAAATAATTTGAAAATGAAAATAAAAAATATATCTGTAAAACAAATTTTAGTTGGAAACTTGATTCTGTAATTATATTATTAATGGTAATCAAACAACAAAAGAGAAAATATCTCGCTGCTCTCAACTGAATCACTTTTGTAGGAATAAATCTACGTACAAGTCTACGTAGTGTTTTGTACATAACATTCAATTTAAGTAGTATTTCTTATTTCTAGCGCTTGAGGTTTTTCACATATGTCTACTTCATTTGTGTCTTTGTTCTAATGTAGTTTTTTTGTCCTATTGTTTGTAATTAGTTTCTTTGCTCTTATATTATCACTGACTGTTTGCTTGTCTTCAGTAAGCTTGAGTTTTTTTTTACTTATGTTAGCTAGGCTAGCATTAGTTTTGTGCAACTGAAAATGATTACGAGAATTATGAAATTTCAAATGGTATCAAAAATGTTGAGATCATAAAAACCTTACTTAAAGCAAAAATAACAATATTGTGAAATATATCATTATCATGAAATAAAATGTATCATACCGCGATATAAAAGGTTTGGTCATATCGCCCACCCCTACAACACTGGTCTAAATAACTATTTAAATTTTTCACAGTGTATTTTTAGTTGAATGGTCTTTAATGCAGGTGTAAATGATTGTCCCTACCTGCAACCTGTTACTTTTCTCAGCGCTGATTAGGACTGACCAATCACAATAAAAAATTCACCTTTAATAAAAAACACCACCTGTCTTGTGGTCCACACTTAATCGGAGTTAGAGTCTCATTTAAAAATGTGTTTTGGCACATATTGGCAAGTTATGGCAACCACTTTTATTATACTTCAAGCAGATGATTTCTCACTTGTTCTGCAGCAACTCGTTTTCCTGGCGGAGCTGGCCGAGCTCAGAGCGCATGCTCCTCTCAGCACTGCTCAGGGAGCTGATCTGACTGCGCAGGTCTTGCTCCACCTGTCTGCTTGCCTGCAGGTCAGCCTTCAACTTCTTTATGTCCTGCTCAAGCCTGCCAAACAGAGAAAAAGGGAATAAACAGGACGAATGCACGCCAATGGCTGAATCAGACCACAGTAGGAGTCTTACCGCACTAATGCTTCTGGCTTACTGAGCTGGTTGTTAGGTATACAGTTCTCCATCGGATCTCTGTGAGGTGCAAGGTTCTTCCCTGCACACTTCTGCTTCTTTTCACTCCTACTGGACGAGGAGGACGGTACGCTGCCATTGGTGGAGTTGTGGCTATGGGGGGAGGAGTTTTTGTAATGTTTGGAAGTGGCAGAGCCTCCACCTCCACCGCCCACCTCCTCTTTCTGGAACAGGTTCTCGGCACTGCTGCCAAGCTCGTTGTTGAGTCTCTTAGTGTTTAGGTGGTTCTCCATATACTCGATGTCTTGTAATTTAGCATCTACAGTCTGTAGGATGTTGTTGTTTATTCCTATGCTGTGCTGCTGCTGCTGTTTTTTGTCTTTCCCCCCGTCTTTGCCCTTCTCCTTGTACTCCAGTTCAGGCAGAGAGACGGGCAGTTTCTTGGTAATAGCAGTGCCGTTCTGCGCCACTATCAACGAGTCTGCTTCAAACATGCCTTTTGAGGTGGCTGCCAAATGAATGAGATTTTAAGGTTACAAGGCAATGCTGTCTGACTGGTAGGACTACAAATGAAACAAATCGGAAAGCATCATGCAAATGAATAGGTTATGTAGTACAACCATACGACTGATATTATTTTTGCAGGATGTTTAATGTGCACAATATGAAAATCTTCTGTATGCATGGAATACCTAGATACCATTAGGTAAAATTTCTGGTATACATCTAAAACCCACTCACTGAGTACTGTTTCCTACATTGCAATGTCCTAAAGTTGACCCTTTCATTCCCAGTGTTATGAATGAACCAGGACTTTTACCATCTCTTTGATTGGGCTGCCAAAAATTATAATTTTTTTTTAATAAAACTGCAAAATAACCATGTTTATGACAACTGGTTTCCAATTGTTGAATCAATCATGCAATAAATGTAGTTAGAAATATTTCAAATTTATTGTACTGTTTCACATAATAGATCAAATATATTACTAAAAATATACACTACTGTTCAAAGTTTAGAATGAAGTTAAGATATTTTTGTTTTGTTTTTGAAAGAAGTCTCTTATGCTGCATTTATTTGATCAAAAATACAGTAAAAAAAACAGTAATATTGTGAAATAGTATTACAATAAAAAAACGTTTTCTATTTGAATATGTAATATCTTCCTGTGATGCAAAGCTGAATTTTCAGCATAATTAATCCAGTCTTCAGTGTCACATGATCCGTCATAAATCATTCTAACATGCTGATTTGCTGCTCAGAACCATTTTTAAAAATTATTATATTATATTTTATATAGTTATATTATAGTTTTTTTTTTATGGTTTCGTAAGAACTATACATTTTTTTCAGGATTCTTTGATGAATAGAAAGTTTAAAAGAACAGTATTTATTTGCTGGTGTAATGATGCTGAAAATTCAGCTTTGATCACAGGAATTAATTATATTTCAAAATGTATTCAAATAGATTATTTTAAATTGTAATATTTCATAAGATCACTGTCTTACTGTATGTTTGATCAAGTTAAACAAAAACACTTTTGAACAGTACTGTACATAAACTATGATGCCAATCACCAACAAGTGCTTTGGGAAAAGAAAAAAAAAAAGATACCACTTGCTAGGGATATGCCGTAATATATTTTTTGTAACATTATAAATGTAATTTCTGTCACTTTTCATACATTTAATGTACCCTTGCTCAGTAAAAAAACAAACAAACAATAACAATCTTTTTAAAACAAATCTTACTGACCTCAAACTTTTGAACGGTAGTGTAAAATTTGTAATTATTCAATTCAAAATTCATATATACATCATGGATGATTTTTTTGTCTTTGTGTCATAGTTTTGTCTTCTTAATCAAATGAAGAAGATGTGACCGTATTATCAAACCGGTCAAACAGTGATCTTACCCTCCTCTGTCTCTCGTTCCTGTCTCTGAAGCATCTGTTGTTCTGGAGGCAGGGCCTGCTGTAGGAGCTGCATGTAGAACTCATTTTCCTTCTGCACCTCCTTTTGTTTCCGCAGACGTATCTTATAGCTCACATAACTCTTGAATCCGAAGCCCAGCGTCACCACGGGATAGCCAATGCTGCAATGAAAGGGTGAGAACAACATGTTACAGAAAACAGAAAAAAAGCATGATTGGTACAACTAGTGATGACTCAACATCAGTCACCTTCAGATAATGGCAACACTCCCATGTGCTGCTATGGAGACGCCACCAGTGTGTTTACAAATACAAAGCTGACTTTGTGTTATAAGTAGTACAGTTACATCAGCTATGTTTAATAATAAAAAATTTGTGAAGCATAATGTGGTGTGACCTTGTGCTTGAAGAGATATTTCACCCAAAATCATGCAAGCCTTTATGACTTTCCTTCTTACATGGAGCTCAAAAGGATAAATTGTGAAGAAAGTTCATGCTTTTTTTATTGATTGGAAAAGAGCAGCATGAACATACTTCAGAATTTCTCCTCTTTTGTTCCATAACAGAAAGATCCTATAGGTTTGGAATGACATGAGGGCGAGTAAAATGCGAGCAAAGCTTACCAGTGAGCTGCGAATGGACGGCAAAGGTCTACATGAAAATGTTTCAAATCCTTGAATCGGATGGCTGCTTCGATGTAGACGAAGAGAATCCAGAGAGAAACAGTCGGCAGACACACACCTCGCTCTGAAAATAGAACAAGAGAGAGGGAAAACTACGTATAATGTTCGACAACTGATCTCTAGCCTGCTGTTAATAGTTATGACATTCTTACGGCATATCTAGGAATGCATAATTCTTCAAACTATAATGACTTCTAGCCCATTAGTGACCTTCAGGGTCATCGGACATCTGAGAGGTTGTATAAAAGGCCACCGGTTGTTTTCTGAGATCAATATTGTCACACAGGTTTCACAAAACAAGCTCTAAGCTGCAAACAAAAACCTAGTTTGCTGAAAGCACCCTCTCTTGTTGAGACATGCTGCAAGTTGTGTGTCAGCAGGAGCAATCACAGTCACAGCTCAAGGCATATTGAAGCAGCATTCAAGGAACAATCACTCAGTGTCAGCAATTCTTTTCCTCCTCTATCCTGAGGTATCACTGAATCGACCCAAGAAAAGGACATATAATGACAGGAGCACTCTGCTGTTCACTCAGAGTTCAAATACAAGAGCAAGGTAAATCTCTAAATGGCAAAGCATACAGCGCTGTTGTGCATTTTGAACAGTTGATGGGAAAAGTATTCTTAAAATGCATTCAAAATTCGGAATAATTTGTAATATATAATTATTTACGGTATTTAGAAGTGCCCACGATAACAATATCGTGCATATTCATTACCGTGATATATCGCATTACCGAATACCGGCACAAGTCTTCCACTTGCTCATATTTTTCTTTTATGCAATCATCAAACACATTCAAGATAAAGGACTATCCAGAGAGATCTAAATGGTATCATTTGCATAAGAAAAGCCCTTTTAACATCAGAAAAGTGAACAGTTGCGTAATATTTAGCAGAATGCTCCTGAATTATGCCCCTGAATAATCAGCGACAAAGGCTTTAGGGTGCTTACACGCTAGCAAAACTTCCGACAGATCATTTCATGGACAGAAATGTGGAACAAATGAAACAGAAAACAGTCATTTGGGTTTCTGAAAGCACAGCTGGATACACATGTCTGCAGTTTTCATTGGTGGATGGACGCCTAACTTTTGGTTACATGATAGAGCACTGCTCTCGCAAACACATTTCTCCCATGCGTTCTCTGCAAATGCACCATCCACATCCAATCAACGGATTCTTAGTGTTCTCTGAAATTCAATCAACTCTAGAGTGTAAGCAGCTTTACTCCTAAAAAGATACTCATGGAATGTCAGACGGGGCTTGAGCGATGTTGACCTACCTGTATGCCACACGTACTGTACCCAGACATACGTGCTGGCGGCGAAGAACAGCCATTGCTTGGGGATGAACAGGAGGCAGATGATGTCTGATGTGAATGCGACACACACAAAGAACACAGAGAACGCCTGTGGAATCAGACGAGAAGTGTAGAGATGATCGATTTAACCTGTGTAAAACATGTCATTCAAAGAGGTATACAATGCTGGTTTACAAAGAACCGAGTCAAATACTCACCAGTCCCTGATATCTAAAGGAATCGTAAACGCTCCTGATGAAAAGCCAGAAAGGCCACAGGTACTCGAACCTGAACTCCAGCACGAAATCGGCCAGCAGAACCAGCACCCAAACGACCAGGAACTTCAGGTACAGGAAGGTACTGCCAGATCAAGAGAAATCATAAGAATAATACAAATCTTAAGCAAACCTTTTTTATAAATGAATTTCGATTACTTTTCCACTCGTCCATAATTACGGCATTTAAGCACTTTTAAAATAATTTCTAGGGAGGATTTATAGCAATATATCAGGTAAATACAAATAAATATAATTATAAATAAATATATTTTTTAAATAATTACATCTTAATTAAATATTATACTTATGTGTGTGCAAAAGTCTCTAAAAAGATAACATTTAATGGAAGCTTGTGTGAGCATCCAAGAGCATAACCACAGACATTTACATTCACTGCAGACATTTCCATGACCCTTCCAGGTCTTTTCCTGACATTTTTAACTGAAAGAACCTCATATATTAAAGGGGTCATATGATGCGATTTCATTTTTTCCTTTCTCTTTAGAGTGTTACAAGCTCTTGGTGCATAAAGAAGATCTGTAAAGTTGCAAAGACTAAAGTCTCAAATCCAAAGAGATCAAATATACTCAGCCAAGACGAGGTTTTGGCTGAGCAGATCTTGGTGGTGTGTATACATACACTCATTTTTCAGATGGGACCACAGATATAAGGCCTCGGCCAACACGGTGTCATGTGGAATAAACCCCCACTCGAAGCATTAAATTGCAGAGTTTAATCTAAACATTTCTAGAACAAGAACAACCTAAAAACAACCAGTCGGTATAGGATTACCTTCATTACATTAACCCAAAACATATGTGTAGGTGGCAGAACGTTACAATAATGTGGCATCAACATATATGACATCTCAATGCCCTACTGTAAGATCGAGCTGAAGCTTTGTATTTTTTTTTTTTTTTTTGGTGGACCAGCAACAGTCCAGCTACCAGTCGGTCAAGCTGTTTTTATATTGTAGCTGGTTGAGCAGCCAATGAGCAGCTAAGCACCAGCTATCATGATCCAAAACACATTTGCACAAGTTGGATCTTCCAGCAGAGCACAGTGATGATGGCTATAAAAGACAACTGCATAAGAGCATTCATGACATGGCTAGTACTATATGTAATACTTATTATTTCATATCCTGCACTACTGAAGCCTATGGATGAAACACAAACGCCAGCATCCACACATATGCTACACACTCAGGCCGGAGTCACACTGAACTGTCATCTGTATCTGACTGTTACCGCTCATATACGGCCGAGCTCAGTTCAGAGACGCCATTACGGTGCGGTCGGTGCCCGGTAGCTTCTCCGTCCGTACCTGCTATGAATACCCTCGGTGATTCGGTTCCGTTTCAACGGGCGACGGAGTTTGCTGCAGTCCGCATTGCGCCGCTTCATTCTCCACCCTTTATATTCCCGTAACTTTGAACACTCGAGGGGAAACTACGTGACCGTCCTAATACTGATGCGCATCGCTACGCGAATGCGGGACTGTCAAGTGTTTTCCTTCCACTAGACACAAAGAAATAAATAAAAACAGTCTGCGTGAGGCCCTCCCATTTTTACTCTGGACGCCTCGTGACGTAACGACGCCGTACGCTCTGCGCTACGTTCCCAAAGCAAGATGGCGGCGTCCTGAGCAGGCAATTCTGATTTTCTGATTTTCGTGTTTATTTTGTGAAGGTAAGTGTAAACGTTGACATAAACTGTGGATGTGACGGTTTCCATAGTAATCCTCAAGTAAAACTGGTGGCATGTTGTGTAAACGGGGTGTTTTTAAATAGAGCACTTTGGATTACGCCAACACATGCCTTCAGCCATGCTTGAGCTGGACGAGAAGAAATAAGAACTTGTTAGACATGTCGCGAGAATGAATGATTATTTTAATAACATTTTTGCAAGTATAAGTTGAGGGCAAGTTATGTCTATGTTTATTAAGGCTGCTTGCTTGTGTTATTTGTAAGTCGCTCACGGATTAGTGTTGGTTTCACGATTCTGATCATTATATTTGCGTTGCACAGTACTCAGTTTTAATAAAACATTACGTAGGCCTGCACAAAATTGGCCATGTGATTGCATTGTTGTGATGTTAAATCATATATATCACTGCAATTATGATGCAATATGATCACTGTGCTGTACATTGTATGTAATATGTAAATTCAGTCATATTTACTTAAAATTTGTTAAATATCTTACTATCACAATATCTATAAATATATTATACTATTATGCAAATATATTTCCACATTCTCACAACAAATGTGGTCAAAAAAAAAAGTAAAAAAAAAATTGAAATTGTACAACTGAAAATAGATTTTTACTTAAAATAATAATAATTTATTATAATATTAAAATAATATTTGAAACCTGTGATTTTATACTGAAAAAAAGATTTGAAACGTTAAAAATCATAACATAAAAAAAATAAAAATAAATAAAGAACACTTTCAATGACATTTGTTTGGTTTACAATGACTTTTTTTCTAGTTAAAGGTGCAATAGGTGATTGTCTTCAGAAATTTTTTTTGTTATGCTGGTTGAAAGTCTCTTCACATCCCGATAGCAATCATTAAGTTAAGTGGTCTAAATGTATTTGTCTGTATTTATATATTCTGTGGAAGGTGTAGGATCAAGAAATGTTCGTCCAATCAAAACACTCGGTCCTAGCATTTTAATATGCTTTCCTACCTGCCTGTCAACATATATGTATTAGCATACCTCTGCGCACCCGGTTCGCGCAGACAGGATACGTCATCAGCGCATTCACGCACGCTGTGCAGACAGAGCAAGGATGGCAGGCAAACATCAACAAGCCGAACAGCCAATCACTGAAATTGAAAATGTTAAGATTGCACGGTTTAATGAGGATGATGTTAAAACATATCAAAACATAAAAATAAATAAATAATCACCTTTCATTAGCACACTTACACAACTTGTTGCTTTTCTCAGTTCAGTTTTCAGAACGCACACAAAAATGCCTACAGCACTGAACCTCAGCAATGAGGTGGTCAAAATGAGGGTGGAGGTTAAAAGGGTGAAGGTGCTTCTCATCCGCAAACTCATCCGGCAGATCTCAGTCCTGGAGAAGAAGAAAGGTAGTGAGGCAGACTTGGAGAAGTTCCGCAGGCGAGCAGCTAGACTTCGGGAGGAGATCCATGAGCTGAAAGCTGTCACGTCTGACAGAGTCACCAAAGCCGCCCTACAGAAGGACATCAGCTTTGAGAAAGTGTGCCGGAATAAAGAGGCCAGCCTGTCCGAACGAGTCATCGCCCGCATTGCCACGCACCCACAGTTCAGCAAGAAAATCCAGAGCATAAAGGCAGCCATCAAAGCCTTCAAAGAACAGAGAATAAATGCATTAAATCCAGAAAAACAAGCAAAAAGCAATGCAGAAAATGCACAAGCAGACAGCGATGATGATGTGGGTTCAGAGAAATCAAACGATATTCATAATGTTGCAAAATATTTCTATTCCAGGTAAATGATCATTTATCTGAAATAGAAAATGGTCAAAATTTTATTATATTTACTGTTAGTATGTTTTATATATATATATATATATATATATATTAAAAGTTTGTTTTATAGCAAAAGCAGACAACTCCAACAATCGTTTTTTGGCAAAAGCAGCAAGAAAATCCAGAGCATAAAGGCAGCCATCAAAGCCTTCAAAGAACAGAGAATAAATGCATTAAATCCAGAAAAACAAGCAAAAAGCAATGCAGAAAATGCACAAGCAGACAGCGATGATGATGTGGGTTCAGAGAAATCAAACGATGAAGTTGATGATGAGAAACTGAAAGAGGATGAGGGTGATAAAAAGACAGAAGAAGACAGGCAAAAGGAGATTGATGTTTCCTCACAGGAGAGCCAGAAGACGAGTTTAGAGACAACAGATGAACAGACCAAAATGTGCCAGAATGAAGAATCCCTAACAGTTGAGGTAAGTGTATTTTAACTGGTGTTTGTGAAATTATTTTATTTTAGGTTGAGTACAGGTGAAATAATTGGTCGAAGCTATAAAAACTATAACTACATGTTACTTCCCAAATAGAACACACTGTATCTCATTATACAATAACACAAATTCTTGAAATAATGTTTCATGTTCACGCAAAATGAATAAACCTCATGTTGCTTCAAATGCATATGTTGATATTTTGTCAGTGGAACACAAAAGGAGAATCTTCACACAATCTTCTCTCGTCTTCTGATGTCTTATGATAGATTTGTGTGGAGAAGAGACTGATAGTCAATACTCACTGAAAATATTTCTTTCTGCACTCTTTCAAATCAAACGTTGCTCCATTACACATTCTGTGTTAGGTAAGATGTGTATGTGTACCAAGATGTGTACCATGACAATAACGTTACTATAATCTGGCAACACTGTTGATAGATGAGTGCCATTATCTAATTAACTAATTAATTTTGAGTTACCATGGCCGATTTCCATATTCATATTCCCACAACAAAATGAGGCCAAAGTCCAAAAATAACCAGAAAATTTGAAACTGTATACCTGAAAATCAATTTTTGCTTACATGTAATAAAACAGGATATTTGAAACCTGGGATTTGATGCTGAAAACAAGATTGAAACTTTTTTTTTTTTTTAAACGTAAAACAACTTTTCTTCACATTCACTTTTTCTAGTTAAGTATAGTTTAATCCAAACACAATGCCATTCAGAAGTTCAATAATAATATTATTATTATTATTATTAATTAAATTATTAATTTTAGACAGGAAGGATCCATAAAATTGATCAAATGTGACCAAAGACATTTGTTAAAAAAAAAATTAAAAAAATGTTGTTTTGAACTTTCTATGATCACAAATGCTGAAAAAATGCATCATGGTTTCCCCAAAAATATTAAGCAGCACTACTGTTTTCGAAGTTGATAATAATAAAAAATTATCTTGAGCAGCAAGTCAGCTTATTAGAAAGATTTCAGAAGGATCAATCATGTGACACTGATCACACATGACGCTGTAAATTCAGCTTTGTCATCACAGGAATCAATTATGGCAACACTTTAGTTTAGGGACCAATTCTCACTTTTAACTAGTTGCTTATTAGCAACATTACTAGCATATTGGCTAAAGCACACATTAATGCCTTATTCTGCATGACCATATTTTAGATCCCTAAATCTTGCCCCATACCTAAACTTAAAGGCACAATATGTAATTTTTTGCCACTAGAGGGCGCGTATTCAAAACAAACAAATAAACAAAGGCGTAGTTTGATGACCCCATGACTGAGTGTGGAATCATGGAAGTTGTCGTCTTCATCCCCACAGCCGACCGCTTCCGCTCCTTCCGGAAAGCAGCGGAAGTAAGCAGCGCTGTTTTATCATACTAGATAAATTTGAACGTTCTGTTATAATGCTACTCTGTGCGGTCGCCACCTGTCTAATAAAATGCATAGCATATTAAAGCTTAAAGCATAGCATATTAAA